GTTAATGTAGCTTATAAATAAAGCAAGGCACTGAAAATGCCTAGAAGAGTCATAAGACTCCATAGACATAAAGGTTTGGTCCTAGCCTTCCTATTAATTATTAACAGAATTACACATGCAAGTCTCCACATCCCGGTGAAAATGCCCTCTAAACCCTTATGCGATTAAAAGGAGCTGGTATCAAGCGCACTTACAAGTAGCTCATAACGCCTTGCTCAACCACACCCCCACGGGATACAGCAGTGATAAAAATTAAGCCATGAACGAAAGTTCGACTAAGTCATGTTAACATTGAGAGTTGGTAAATTTCGTGCCAGCCACCGCGGTCATACGATTAACCCAGATTAATAGGCCCACGGCGTAAAACGTGTCAAGGATTACAAAATACTAAAGTTAAAATTTAACTAGGCCGTAAAAAGCTACTGTTAATATAAAATATACCACGAAAGTGACCTTACTATTTCCGACTACACGACAGCTGAGGCCCAAACTGGGATTAGATACCCCACTATGCTCAGCCCTAAACATGGATAATTAACACAACAAAATTATCTGCCAGAGAACTACTAGCAATAGCTTAAAACTCAAAGGACTTGGCGGTGCTTTACACCCCTCTAGAGGAGCCTGTTCTATAATCGATAAACCCCGATACACCTCACCACTTCTAGCTAAATCAGTCTATATACCGCCATCTTCAGCAAACCCTCAAAAAAGGAAGGAAAGTAAGCACGATAATAATACATAAAAAAGTTAGGTCAAGGTGTAACCTATGAAGTGGGAAGAAATGGGCTACATTTTCTAATCAAGAACACACTCACGAAAGTCTTTATGAAATCTAGAGACTAAAGGTGGATTTAGTAGTAAATTAAGAATAGAGAGCTTAATTGAATAGGGCCATGAAGCACGCACACACCGCCCGTCACCCTCCTTGAGCAATATACCCAAATACTACATAATTTATAAACTGAACTAAAGCAAGAGGAGACAAGTCGTAACAAGGTAAGCATACTGGAAAGTGTGCTTGGATAAATCAAAGTGTAGCTTAACTAAAGCATCTGGCTTACACCCAGAAGATTTCACACATCAATGACCACTTTGAACTAAAGCTAGCCCAACCAACCACCAACTTAACTATCACAACAACCACAATTAAAACATTTAATTATACCATTACAGTATAGGAGATAGAAATTCTATTTGGAGCTATAGAGAAAGTACCGCAAGGGAACGATGAAAGAAAAATTTAAAGTAATAAACAGCAAAGATTACCCCTTATACCTTTTGCATAATGAATTAGCTAGAACAGTTTAGCAAAGAGACCTTAAGCTAACCCTCCCGAAACCAGACGAGCTACCTATGAACAACCCACGGGGGTAAACTCGTCTATGTCGCAAAATAGTGAGAAGATCCATAGGTAGAGGTGAAAAGCCTAACGAGCCTGGTGATAGCTGGTTGCCCAGAACAGAATCTCAGTTCGACTTTAAACCTACTTATCAACCCTAAAATTGTAACGTAAGTTTAAAATATAATCTAAAAAGGTACAGCTTTTTAGAACGAGGATACAACCTTACTTAGAGAGTAAAACTAAACAAAACCATAGTAGGCCTAAGAGCAGCCACCAATTAAGAAAGCGTTCAAGCTCAACAATACAAACCTCTTAATCCCAAAAATCCCTAGCAACTCCTAATACAATACTGGGCTAATCTATTTAATAATAGAAGCAATAATGCTAGTATGAGTAACAAGAAATACTTCTCCTTGCACAGGCTTATAACAGTCAACGAATGCTCACTGATAGTTAACAACGTGATAGAAATAGACCACTAATAAAACACCTATCTAATTAATTGTTAATCCAACACAGGCGTGCAATAAGGAAAGATTAAAAGAAGTAAAAGGAACTCGGCAAACGTAAACCCCGCCTGTTTACCAAAAACATCACCTCCAGCATATCTAGTATTGGAGGCACTGCCTGCCCAGTGACACTAGTTCAACGGCCGCGGTATCCTGACCGTGCAAAGGTAGCATAATCATTTGTTCTCTAATTAAGGACTTGTATGAACGGCCACACGAGGGTTTAACTGTCTCTTACTTCCAATCAGTGAAATTGACCTTCCCGTGAAGAGGCGGGAATAAACTAATAAGACGAGAAGACCCTATGGAGCTTTAATTAACTAACCCATAATAACCCACCGAATCACCAATTGGACCTAACATAACCTTATTAATGGGCTAGCAATTTAGGTTGGGGTGACCTCGGAGAATAAAAGAACCTCCGAGTGATTTAATCACAGACAAACCAGTCGAAGAGTTACATCACTTATTGATCCAATAACTTGATCAACGGAACAAGTTACCCTAGGGATAACAGCGCAATCCTATTTGAGAGTCCATATCAACAATAGGGTTTACGACCTCGATGTTGGATCAGGACATCCTAATGGTGCAACAGCTATTGAGGGTTCGTTTGTTCAACGATTAAAGTCCTACGTGATCTGAGTTCAGACCGGAGTAATCCAGGTCGGTTTCTATCTATTAAAACAACTTCTCCCAGTACGAAAGGACAAGAGAAGTGGGGCCCATTATACCGTAATGCCCCAGGACTAATAGATGATATAATCTCAATCTAGCCAGTCCACCTTTCCCCCCCCCCCCCAGAAATAGGGGTTTGTTAGGGTGGCAGAGCCCAGTAATTGCGTAAAACTTAAGCTTTTATTCTCAGAGGTTCAAATCCTCTTCCTAACAATATGCTCATAATCAACATCATTTCACTAATTGTACCAATCTTGCTCGCCGTAGCTTTCCTGACATTAGTGGAACGAAAAATCCTAGGATACATACAACTCCGCAAGGGCCCAAATATTGTAGGACCCTACGGCCTCCTACAACCAATTGCAGACGCCGTGAAACTTTTTACTAAAGAACCCCTACGACCCTTAACATCATCTATTACTATGTTCGTAATAGCCCCAATCCTAGCCCTAGCACTAGCCCTAACCATGTGAGTCCCATTACCTATACCTTACCCCCTCGTTAACATGAACCTAGGAGTCCTATTCATACTGGCAATGTCAAGCTTAGCCGTCTATTCCATTCTATGATCCGGATGAGCCTCAAACTCAAAATACGCCCTAATCGGAGCCCTACGAGCTGTAGCCCAAACAATCTCCTATGAGGTCACACTAGCTATCATTCTTCTTTCAGTACTGCTAATAAATGGCTCATTCACCCTATCCACATTAATCACCACACAAGAACACCTATGACTAATCCTCCCCGCATGACCCCTAGCCATAATATGATTTATCTCAACTCTAGCAGAAACTAACCGCGCACCCTTCGACCTAACCGAAGGAGAATCAGAACTAGTCTCAGGGTTCAATGTCGAATACGCAGCCGGACCATTCGCCCTGTTTTTCCTAGCCGAATACGCTAACATCATCATAATAAATATTCTTACAACAATCCTATTTTTCGGCGCATTCCACACCCCCTACCTACCAGAACTATACACCATCAACTTCACCGTGAAAACACTCCTACTAACAGCCTCTTTCCTATGAATTCGAGCATCTTACCCACGATTCCGCTATGACCAACTTATACACCTACTATGAAAAAACTTCCTCCCTCTAACACTAGCTCTATGCATATGACACATGGCCCTACCTATTATAACAGCAAGCATTCCTCCCCAAACATAAGAAATATGTCTGATAAAAGAATTACTTTGATAGAGTAAATCATAGAGGTTCAAACCCTCTTATTTCTAGAATTATAGGAATCGAACCTAACCTTAAGAACTCAAAAATCTTCGTGCTACCAAACCTACACCAAATTCTACAGTAAGGTCAGCTAAATAAGCTATCGGGCCCATACCCCGAAAATGTTGGTTTATCCCCTTCCCGTACTAATTAAACCCCTCGTCCTCACCACCATCATATCAACTGTTATCTTAGGAACTATCACAGTGCTAATAAGCTCTCACTGACTGATAATCTGGATCGGATTTGAAATGAATATACTAGCCATTATCCCAGTCCTAATAAAAAGTTTCAACCCACGAACCATAGAAGCATCAACAAAATATTTCCTCGCCCAAGCCACCGCATCCATACTCCTCATACTAGGAGTCATTATCAACCTACTACTGACAGGCCAATGAACAGTACTAAACACCCCACACCCAATCACATCAAACATAATAACAGTGGCCATAGCAATAAAACTAGGACTATCACCCTTTCACTTCTGAATACCCGAAGTAGCCCAAGGAATCTCACTATCATCAGGAATAATCCTACTTACCTGACAAAAAATTGCCCCTCTATCCGTTCTATACCAAATCTCACCCTCTGTAAACCCAAACCTACTAATGACTATAGCAGCCATATCCGTGCTGGTAGGTGGATGAGGGGGTCTTAACCAAACACAACTACGAAAAATCCTAGCTTATTCATCAATCGCTCATATGGGATGAATAGTCGCCGTAACAACATACAACCCCACCCTAATATTACTAAACCTTACAATCTACATTATAATAACACTAGGAACATTCATACTATTTATCCTCAGCTCATCCACAACTACACTATCATTATCCCACATATGAAACAAAACCCCATTAATCACTTCACTAGTCCTAGCAATTATACTCTCCTTAGGAGGCCTGCCTCCTCTGTCAGGATTTATCCCCAAATGAATAATCACTTACGAACTTACAAAAAATAACATGGTCACTGCAGCAATATTCATGGCAATAACAGCCCTACTAAACCTATATTTCTACATACGACTAACATATGCAACAGCACTAACCATGTTCCCTTCAACAAACGCCATAAAAATAAAATGACAATTCGAAAACATAAAAAACACCACCCTAATGTCTCCTCTAATTGTATCCTCAACTATACTACTCCCACTAACCCCAATAATACTAGCAATATTCTAGAAGTTTAGGTTAAAAAGACCAAGGGCCTTCAAAGCCCTAAGTAAGTGCTACTCACTTAACTCCTGAACTTACCCTAAGGACTGCAAGAGTTTATCTCACATCTATTGAACGCAAATCAATTACTTTAATTAAGCTAAGCCCTTCCTAGATTGGTGGGCTATCATCCCACGAAACTTTAGTTAACAGCTAAATACCCTAGTCAACTGGCTTCAATCTACTTCTCCCGCCGCGAAGAAAAAAAAGGCGGGAGAAGCCCCGGCAGGGTTGAAGCTGCTTCTTTGAATTTGCAATTCAATGTGATATTTCACCACAGGGCTTGGCAAAAAGGGGACTTAAACCCCTATTCTTAGATTTACAGTCTAATGCTCTTATCAGCCATCTTACCTATGTTCATAAATCGATGATTATTCTCCACAAATCACAAAGACATCGGCACCCTTTACCTTTTATTCGGTGCATGAGCCGGAATGGTAGGCACCGCTCTCAGCCTATTAATCCGTGCTGAATTAGGTCAACCTGGCGCTCTATTAGGGGATGACCAGATTTATAATGTTATCGTCACCGCCCACGCATTCGTGATAATTTTCTTTATAGTAATACCAATCATGATCGGTGGGTTTGGAAACTGACTAGTACCCCTAATAATTGGTGCGCCTGACATAGCATTTCCACGAATAAACAATATAAGCTTTTGACTCCTACCCCCCTCCTTTCTACTTCTTCTAGCCTCATCTATGGTAGAAGCGGGTGCAGGAACAGGATGAACCGTATACCCCCCTTTAGCAGGTAATCTAGCACATGCAGGAGCATCGGTAGACCTGACAATTTTTTCTCTACACCTGGCAGGTGTATCGTCCATCCTAGGAGCTATCAATTTTATCACCACTATCATTAACATAAAACCCCCCGCAATATCACAATACCAAACTCCCTTATTCGTGTGATCTGTACTAATTACGGCCGTGCTTTTACTCCTATCTCTACCAGTCTTAGCAGCCGGTATTACTATACTACTTACAGACCGGAATCTGAATACCACCTTTTTTGACCCAGCTGGAGGAGGAGACCCTATTCTATACCAACACTTATTCTGATTCTTCGGACACCCAGAAGTATACATTCTAATTCTGCCTGGATTCGGAATTATCTCACACGTCGTTACATACTACTCAGGAAAGAAAGAACCGTTTGGTTATATAGGAATGGTATGGGCAATAATATCAATTGGCTTCCTAGGCTTTATTGTGTGAGCCCACCACATATTTACTGTAGGTATGGATGTCGATACACGAGCATACTTTACATCAGCCACTATAATCATTGCTATCCCTACAGGGGTAAAAGTATTTAGCTGACTGGCTACTCTACACGGAGGAAATATTAAATGATCCCCAGCTATGCTATGAGCTTTAGGGTTTATTTTTCTATTTACAGTGGGTGGTCTAACGGGTATCGTATTATCAAACTCATCACTGGATATTGTTCTTCACGACACATACTATGTAGTAGCACACTTTCATTACGTTCTCTCAATGGGGGCAGTATTTGCAATTATGGGTGGATTTGTCCACTGATTCCCACTATTCACGGGTTATATACTGAATGATACTTGAGCGAAAATCCACTTCACAATTATATTTGTCGGAGTAAACATAACATTCTTTCCTCAACACTTCCTAGGCCTATCAGGTATGCCTCGACGTTACTCCGACTATCCAGATGCTTACACAACATGAAACACAGTATCTTCCATAGGCTCATTCATCTCACTAACAGCAGTAATATTAATGATCTTCATAATCTGAGAAGCCTTCGCATCCAAACGAGAAGTACTAACAGTACAACTCACTTCAACAAACATTGAATGGTTACACGGGTGTCCTCCACCATATCACACCTTTGAGGAGCCAACCTATGTACTATCGAAATAAGAAAGGAAGGAATCGAACCCCCTAAAATTGGTTTCAAGCCAATGTCATAACCATTATGTCTTTCTTAATAAAGAGGTATTAGTAAAAAATTACATGACTTTGTCAAAGTCAAATTATAGGTGAGAATCCTTTATACCTCTATGGCGTACCCTTTCCAAATAGGCCTCCAAGATGCAACCTCTCCTATCATAGAGGAACTACTACACTTCCACGATCACACGCTAATAATCGTATTCTTAATTAGCTCTCTCGTTCTCTACATTATTTCACTGATATTGACCACTAAACTCACGCATACCAGCACCATGGACGCCCAGGCAGTCGAAACAATCTGAACCATCTTACCCGCCATCATTCTAATCCTAATCGCCCTTCCCTCACTACGAATCCTTTACATAATAGACGAAATCAACAACCCTTCCCTAACTGTAAAAACCATGGGACATCAATGATATTGAAGCTATGAATACACTGACTACGAAGACCTGAACTTCGACTCCTACATAATTCCAACTCAAGAATTAAAACCCGGAGAACTACGACTACTAGAAGTAGACAACCGAGTAGTTCTCCCAATAGAAATAACAATCCGGATGCTAATTTCATCTGAAGACGTATTACACTCATGAGCCGTGCCATCCCTAGGACTAAAAACTGATGCCATCCCTGGACGCCTGAACCAAACTACCCTAATGGCCATGCGACCGGGATTATACTACGGCCAATGCTCTGAAATCTGCGGCTCTAATCACAGCTTCATACCAATTGTTCTCGAGCTAGTGCCTCTGTCATACTTTGAAAAATGATCTGCCTCAATGCTATAAATTCGTTGAGAAGCTAAATAGCATTAACCTTTTAAGTTAAAGATTGAGAGTGTAAGCCTCTCCTCAATGATATGCCACAACTAGACACTTCAACCTGGCTTATCACGATTATATCGATAATTATCACCCTATTCATTATATTCCAATTAAAAGTATCCAAGCATTGTTTTCCAGATAACCCTGAGCCAAAATTAACGACCACATCAAAACCCACCACACCTTGAGAAGAAAAATGAACGAAAATCTATTTTCCTCTTTCATTACCCCTGTAGTAATAGGACTTCCTATTGTTATCGCCATTGTAATATTCCCAAGTATTATATTCCCATCACCTAGTCGACTAATCAACAACCGACTCATCTCTATTCAACAATGACTAGTACAACTAACATCAAAACAAATGTTGTCCATTCACAACCAAAAAGGACAAACCTGGGCATTAATATTAATATCCCTCATCTTATTTATTGGCTCCACCAACCTATTGGGCCTACTACCCCACTCATTTACCCCTACTACTCAATTATCCATAAACTTAGGAATGGCTATCCCCTTATGAGCAGGCACAGTAATTACTGGCTTCCGATACAAAACAAAAGCCTCCCTAGCCCATTTCTTACCACAAGGAACACCCATCCCCCTAATCCCCATACTTATTATCATCGAAACTATTAGTCTGTTCATCCAACCAATGGCTCTAGCTGTACGGCTAACAGCTAACATCACTGCAGGCCACTTATTAATCCACCTAATCGGGGGAGCTACCCTAGCCCTAATAAACATTAGCACTATCACAGCAGCAGTAACCTTCATCATCCTTATCCTCTTGACCATCCTGGAATTTGCAGTAGCCCTTATTCAAGCCTATGTTTTCACTCTGCTAGTAAGCTTATACTTACATGATAATACTTAATGACCCACCAAACCCATTCGTACCATATAGTTAACCCAAGCCCTTGACCCCTAACAGGGGCTCTCTCAGCACTCCTCACAACATCAGGACTAGTGATATGATTTCATTTTAACTCGATATTCCTTCTAACCCTAGGTATAGTAACCAACGTACTAACTATGTATCAATGGTGACGAGATATTGTCCGAGAAGGGACATTCCAAGGCCACCACACTCCTACCGTCCAAAAAGGCCTACGATACGGAATAATCCTATTTATTACATCAGAAGTCTTCTTCTTTGCGGGCTTCTTTTGAGCTTTTTACCATTCAAGCCTAGCACCAACCCCCGAACTAGGAGGATGCTGACCCCCTACGGGCATCACACCCTTGAACCCACTAGAAGTACCACTACTTAATACTTCAGTCCTCCTAGCCTCCGGAGTCTCCATTACCTGAGCCCATCACAGCCTAATGGAAGGAGACCGCAAACACATACTCCAGGCCCTATTCATTACAATCTCCTTAGGCCTATACTTTACCCTGTTGCAAGCCTCAGAATACTACGAAGCACCATTTGCAATCTCTGACGGGATTTACGGCTCCACATTTTTCATGGCCACAGGATTCCACGGTCTCCATGTCATCATCGGATCTACCTTCCTTATTGTATGCTTCCTGCGACAATTAAACTATCACTTCACATCTAGCCATCATTTTGGATTCGAAGCAGCTGCCTGATATTGACATTTCGTAGATGTTGTGTGACTATTCCTGTATGTATCTATCTATTGATGAGGATCTTATTTCCCTAGTATTAACAAGTACAGTTGACTTCCAATCAACTAGTTCTGGTGATAGTCCAGAGAGAAATAATAAACATAATACTGACCCTACTCACTAACATATCGCTAGCATCTCTACTCATCCTAATCGCATTCTGACTACCCCAACTAAATATCTACATAGAAAAAGCAAGTCCATATGAATGCGGTTTTGACCCACTAGGATCAGCACGTCTGCCTTTCTCTATAAAATTCTTCCTAGTAGCCATCACATTCTTACTGTTTGACTTAGAAATCGCATTACTTCTCCCATTACCATGAGCCTCACAATCAAACAACCTAGAAACGACACTCATTACAGCACTAACATTAATTTCCATCCTAGCCGTAAGCTTAGCCTACGAGTGGACCGAAGAAGGCTTAGAATGGAATGAATAATGATAATTAGTTTAACAAAAACAAATGATTTCGACTCATTAGATTGTAAATTATATTACAATTATCAAATGTCCATAGTGTATATTAATATCTTCCTAGCCTTTATCTTATCCTTCATAGGACTACTCATATACCGATCTCACCTCATATCCTCCCTACTCTGTCTAGAAGGTATAATACTATCCCTATTCGTCATAATAACAATCACAATCCTGGTAAACCACTTCACACTAGCCAGTATAACCCCTATCATCTTGCTTGTATTCGCGGCCTGTGAAGCAGCCCTAGGACTATCACTGCTAGTCATAGTCTCCAACACATATGGAACGGATTACGTACAAAACTTAAATCTACTACAATGTTAAAAATTATTCTCCCAACCATAATACTGATTCCCCTGGCGTGACTATCAAAATATAACATAATCTGAATCAATACAACAGCTTATAGCATACTAATCAGCCTAATTAGCCTAACATATTTTAATCAGTCCCCAGACAATAATCTAAGCTTCTCATTACTCTTTTTCGCAGACTCCTTATCAGCACCCCTACTAACACTCACAACATGACTTCTCCCTCTAATGCTTATAGCAAGCCAACACCACCTATCGAAAGAAACCCTCATTCGTAAAAAACTGTATATCACAATATTAATCACACTTCAACTACTCCTAATTATAACATTCACCTCCACAGAACTAATTATGTTCTACATCCTATTTGAAGCCACACTCATACCAACACTAATTATTATCACCCGATGAGGCAACCAAACAGAACGCCTAAACGCTGGCCTATACTTCCTATTCTACACCCTAGTAGGCTCTTTACCCCTTCTGATCGCTCTATTATGAACCCAGAACAATCTAGGCACCCTACACCTACTGGTAATCCAATTCTGAGTTCAACCCCTGCCAAACACCTGATCCAACACACTACTATGATTAGCATGCATAATGGCATTCATAGTAAAAATACCGCTATACGGCCTTCACCTATGACTCCCGAAAGCCCACGTAGAAGCCCCTATTGCGGGATCCATAGTCCTTGCCGCCGTACTCCTAAAACTGGGAGGATATGGAATAATACGAATTACCATACTACTAAACCCACTAACAAACCACATAGCCTATCCCTTCATGATACTATCCCTATGAGGGATAATCATGACAAGCTCTATCTGCTTGCGCCAAACAGACTTAAAATCCCTAATTGCCTACTCCTCAGTAAGCCACATGGCCCTAGTAATCATAGCAGTACTCATTCAATCACCATGAAGTTACACAGGAGCAACAGCCCTAATAATCGCCCACGGTCTAACATCATCCCTATTATTCTGCTTAGCCAATTCCAACTATGAACGTATCCACAGCCGCACTATAATCCTCGCACGAGGCTTACAAATACTCTTACCATTAATAGCTGCATGATGATTACTCGCTAGCCTAACCAACCTAGCCCTACCACCCACTATCAACTTAGTAGGGGAACTATTCGTAGTAATAGCCTCATTCTCATGGTCCAACATCACCATCATCCTACTAGGAATTAACATCACCATCACTGCCCTATACTCCCTGTTCATACTAATCACCACGCAACGCGGGAAACTCACACATCATATCAAAAATGTTAACCCATCATTCACACGGGAAAATTCTCTAATGGCCCTCCACCTATTACCCCTACTACTCCTCTCACTCAACCCTAAAATTATCTTAGGCCCCATCTACTGTAAATATAGTTTAACAAAAACATTAGATTGTGAATCTGATAATGAAAGCTCGAGCCTTTCTATTTACCGAAAAAGTACCACGCAAGAACTGCTAACTCATGCTCCCATGCATAAAAGCATGGCTTTTTCAACTTTTAAAGGATAGTAGTTATCCATTGGTCTTAGGAACCAAAAAATTGGTGCAACTCCAAATAAAAGTAATCAACCTATTCACTTCCTCCATCCTCGTAACACTATTCATACTAACCCTCCCCATCATAATAACCAACACTACCCTTTATACCAATAAACTATATCCCCAATACGTAAAAACCACTATCTCACATGCTTTTATAATAAGCCTGATCCCCACAATAATATTTCTCTACTTAGGGCAAGACACAATAATTTCAAACTGACACTGAATTACAATTCAAACTGTAAAACTCTCCCTCAACTTTAAACTTGATTACTTCTCAATAATCTTCATACCGGTAGCACTATTCGTCACATGATCAATTATAGAATTCTCAATATGATACATACACTCAGACCCCTACATCAACCGATTCTTCAAATATTTACTTCTTTTCCTAATCACTATAATAATCCTAGTCACCGCCAACAATATATTTCAACTATTTATCGGATGGGAAGGAGTAGGTATTATATCATTTCTACTTATCGGATGATGATACGGGCGAACAGACGCCAACACAGCCGCACTACAGGCCATCTTATACAACCGTATTGGAGATGTAGGGTTCATCTTAGCCATGGCCTGATTCCTAGCCAACCTAAACACCTGAGATCTACAACAAATCCTCATAACCGACCACAAAAATCTGAACCTCCCTCTCACAGGCCTATTATTGGCAGCTACCGGAAAATCCGCACAATTTGGCCTACACCCATGATTGCCCTCGGCCATAGAAGGTCCAACCCCTGTATCAGCCCTACTGCATTCAAGCACTATGGTTGTAGCAGGAGTATTTTTGCTAATCCGATTCCATCCCCTAATAGAACATAACAAAACAATTCAAACCATCACACTATGCCTAGGAGCAATCACAACCCTATTCACAGCAATTTGTGCCCTAACACAAAACGACATCAAAAAAATTATCGCTTTCTCCACTTCAAGCCAACTCGGACTAATAATCGTAACCATCGGCATCAATCAGCCCTACCTAGCGTTTCTCCATATCTGTACACATGCATTCTTCAAAGCCATATTATTCATGTGCTCTGGATCAATCATTCACAACCTAAACGATGAACAAGACATCCGAAAAATAGGAGGACTATACAAAGCCCTTCCATTTACCACCACCTCCCTGATCGTCGGAAGCCTAGCACTCACAGGAATACCATTCCTAACAGGATTTTACTCTAAAGACCTAATTATCGAAACCGCTAACACGTCATATACCAACGCCTGAGCCCTTCTAATTACCCTCATTGCCACCTCCATAACAGCTGCCTATAGCACTCGAATCCTATTTTTCGCACTCCTAGGACAACCCCGCTTCAACCCTGTCGTCGCAATCAACGAGAATAATCCCCTCCTAATCAACTCCATTAAACGTCTCCTACTCGGGAGTATCTTCGCAGGATTCCTAATCTCCTACAACATCACACCCACCACCACCCCACAGATAACTATGCCTCATTATCTCAAAATAATAGCCCTCACCATAACCATCTTAGGTTTCATTTTGGCACTAGAACTTAACCTCACAATACAAAGCCTAAAATTTAAATATCCCTCGAACCTATTCAAATTCTCAAACATACTAGGCTACTTCCCAACTACTATTCACCGCCTAATACCCAAAATAAATCTACTCATAAGCCAAAAATCAGCATCAACACTGTTAGATATAATTTGACTAGAAAAGATCTTACCAAAATCCATCTCCCACTTCCAAATAAAATCTTCAATCACCGTCACTAACCAAAAAGGCCTAATCAAACTATACTTCTTATCATTTATACTAACCCTGACTCTAAGCCTACTCGTACTTAACTTCCACGAGTAACCTCCATAATTACCAACACCCCAATAAGAAGTGACCAGCCAGTGACAACAACCAACCAAGTCCCATAACTATATAAAGCTGCAATTCCCATAGCTTCCTCACTAAAAAATCCTGAATCACCTGTATCATAAATAACCCAATCGCCCGCTCCATTAAACTTCAATACAACTTCAATGTCAATATCATCACCCTTTAAAACATAACAAGCAGTTAATAACTCAGACAACAAGCCAACGATAAAAGCTCCTAAAACAGCCTTATTAGAGGCCCAAACTTCAGGATACTGCTCAGTAGCCATGGCTGTAGTGTACCCAAAAACAACTAGCATACCCCCTAAATAAATCAAAAATACCATTAAACCCAAAAACGATCCTCCAAAACTCAACACAATCCCACAACCAACAGCCCCACTAATAATTAAAACCAGCCCGCCGTAGATAGGAGAAGGTTTTGAAGAAAACCCTACAAAACTAACTACAAAAATAACACTTAGAATGAATACAATATATGTCATCATTATTCCTACATGGAATCTAACCATGACTAGTGGCATGAAAAACCACCGTTGTATTTCAACTATAAGAACATTAATGACCAACATTCGTAAGACCCATCCCCTAACCAAGATCATCAACAACTCATTCATCGACCTACCCGCACCATCAAACATCTCAGCATGATGAAACTTCGGATCCCTACTCGGAATTTGCTTAATCCTTCAGATTCTTACAGGTTTATTTTTAGCTATACATTATACATCAGACACAACCACAGCCTTCTCATCAGTCGCCCATATCTGCCGAGACGTCAACTACGGCTGAATTATCCGGTACATACATGCAAACGGAGCATCCATATTCTTTATTTGCCTATTCCTACATGTAGGACGAGGATTATACTATGGATCTTACATATTTTCCGAAACATGAAACATTGGTATTGTCTTACTATTCACAGTTATAGCAACAGCATTCATAGGTTACGTCTTACCATGAGGACAAATATCCTTTTGAGGCGCAACCGTAATTACTAACCTACTATCAGCCATCCCATACATCGGAACTAACCTTGTAGAATGAATCTGGGGTGGGTTCTCAGTAGACAAAGCTACCCTAACACGATTCTTCGCCTTCCACTTTATCCTGCCCTTCATCATTTCAGCACTGGCAATAATCCACCTCCTATTCCTCCACGAGACAGGGTCTAACAACCCATCCGGAATCCCATCCAACTCTGACAAAATCCCATTTCACCCCTACTATACCATCAAGGACATCCTAGGCGCCCTATCCCTAGTCCTAGCGCTGACAACGCTAGTGCTATTCTCCCCCGACCTGCTAGGAGACCCCGACAACTATATCCCCGCCAACCCACTCAGTACACCACCCCATATCAAACCCGAATGATATTTCCTATTTGCATATGCAATCCTACGGTCCATCCCTAACAAACTAGGAGGAGTACTAGCCTTAATCCTATCCATCCTAATCCTAGCTATCATTCCCCTACTACACACCTCTAAACAACGAAGCATGATATTCCGCCCACTCAGCCAATGCCTGTTCTGACTATTAGTAGCTGACCTCCTTACCCTAACCTGAATTGGAGGCCAACCAGTAGAGCACCCATTCGTCGTCATCGGCCAATTGGCCTCAATTCTTTACTTTATAATTCTCCTAGTACTAATACCAATCACCAGCATTATCGAAAACAACCTATTAAAATGAAGAGTCTTTGTAGTATATTAATTACTCTGGTCTTGTAAACCAAAAATGGAGAATCCCATCTCCCTAAGACTCAAGGAAGAGGCAAGAACCCCACCATCAGTACCCAAAACTGACATTCTAACTAAACTATTCCCTGATTTCCTCACCCTATTGTCCTAATTCATATATTTAATAATACTTACTGTGCTTGCCCAGTAAGTATTACCCGCGCACCTCCCCCCTATGTATATCGTGCATTAATGGTTTGCCCCATGCATATAAGCATGTACATATTATGGTTGGTTTTACATGTATGCATCTCACCTAGATCACGAGCTTGATCACCATGCCTCGAGAAACCATCAATCCTTGCTTGACGTGTACCTCTTCTCGCTCCGGGCCCATCCGCATGTGGGGGTAGCTATAGTGAAACTATACCTGGCATCTGGTTCTTACTTCAGGGCCATGACAATCCTCAATCCAATCCTACTAACCTCTCAAATGGGACATCTCGATGGACTAATGACTAATCAGCCCATGATCACACATAACTGTGGTGTCATGCATTTGGTATTTTTAACTTTTGGGGGGGGAGAACTTGGTGTCACTCAGCTGTGGCCGTGGCGGCCTCGTAGCAGTCAGATAACTTGTAGCTGGACTTGATCTTCATCATTTATCCGCATTACATAGCCATAAGGTGCTATTCAGTCAATGGTTACAGGACATATACCTACATATACCCACGTACACCCACGTACGTACACGTACACCCACGTACGTACACGTACACCCACGTACGTACACGTACACCCACGTACGTACACGTACACCCACGTACGTACACGTACACCCACGTACGTACACGTACACCCACGTACGTACACGTACACCCACACACGTATTCAACAGATAGGGATTGATTTAATCAAACCCCCCTTACCCCCCGTAACTTCAAAAGTATGCAGATACTTCTACCGCCCTGCCAAACCCCAAAAACAGAACTAAGCATATGCAACATATATGAGAAGCCACTTATACTGGTGCCACGCATGTTAATCTCACTTACTAATCCATTAAAACTTCCTATTCAAAATGAAGCTATCTATAGATGTGAATTCCCACCTCTATCACCCCCGGACTT